TCTATATATAATATATGCATATCTATTAATATATAATAAGGATTAACATAATTCACTTTTAGAAACACTTTCCCGCCAATATCATTAATTATTGCCTAAAAATAGTAAATTAACAAAATCTCTATTTATTAGCATATCTTTTTTATCCCATTTTTTTAGGAATACAATCAAAATATGGAATCAAAATCAAAATAAATCTAAGAAATACGCTTACCATACTTAATACACTTAATTTAACAAATACACTTACCATACGTATTTTTAAAATTTTTTAAAATACAATATATAATATTTAATTAATAATTGTCAATTAAAAATTCTTTTTAAGAATCAATCATATTTTTAATAATTGTTAGAAATAATATATATATATATATATATATATATATATATATATATATTAGTATTTACGTGAAAGTAACATATATGTTAATTATATCTTAACATATATGTTAATCCTATATAATCTATACTTATATTACCAGCAAACCTATTTACTAAATTCAATATGTTGAATAGTCAACATTAATTAATAACTTTATAATCTTATCAAGTGCATTAATTACGTGTAGTTTGGTCAAAAAAAAAAATCTGATAAAATCAAGAAATAAAACGTGTATAGTAAGATTTGATCACAAATCTTTTCTTATGTATTTTTTTATTTCAGATTTTTTTTGTTTCTAAAATTCCATATTATTAAGGAAATAAATCACGCATTTGATCACAAATCTTTTCTTATCTTTTTTCCAATTTGGACGTGTATTTTTTTATCTCAGATTTTTTTGTTTCCAAAATTCCATATTATTAAGGAAATAAATCACGCTCTCTTCTTTCACAAATAAAAATAAATTTACAACTAATATAACTAACGCATCTCATAGTATTATGCAAGGAATAATTTATAATTATATTTATTTATAAAAGATGATAAGAATAGTTCAACATTCTTATCTCACTGGCAGATGAAAAGATATTCCACGTTTTAAAATGTTATAATCCTCAAATAAATAGTTTTCGTGCCTCGCACAGGTCACGTACTATATATCCCGTACATTTTTATTCATTTATATAATTACAAGGTTAGATATATGACCTTAAAATTGTACACCCCGTGCATCGCACGGGATCTGTACTAGTATACCATCAAGGGTAATATCAATGTAATATTAAAGTTACTATAACCATCTACTAGAATCATCTAAACTAGTACCTACTTTTAATTTTGATTAACTCTTATTTAGAAAACTCAATCTATTAGATGTTCTACAATGCAACTAGAAGTTGATAGTGTTATGTACCAGTAAGAAAAATAGATTCAGTTTACTTTAAGTGGATTGAGTTATGTTGGTGTACCAATAAGAAATAAACATTCGGTTTACTTTTTTTTTTTTTTTACAAATGAGAGGCTAGCGCCAAGTAGCGTTAGGGACAAATGTTCCGCGAATAAGAGACACCTCTAACATCGTGCTTTGACCACAGAGTGACACCGGACGGTGAAGTTAAA